CGCTTTATTACGGGACAGAGAAGTATATATACCCAACTAATTACACATAGCTTAACTTAATTAACATAAACTAGATACAGCAGTCAACCAATAAGAAATCCTCATCATCTTAATGATTACACACAGCTTAACTTAATTGACATAATCTAGACACAGCATTCAGTCATTAAGGAATCTCTATCATCTTAATGGCTCACTGGCGTTACTTCTCAAACCACTCCTCTTGGCAAAGTGCCAGGCGCCATCTTGACTTGTCTGTGGCTCTCAACATACTGGCACTTAGTCTTCACTGAGGTCAGAAAAGGAAAATGGGCTCTGATGTAAAGGTACAGAGCAGGGAAATTTTCCTACCAAGAAAAACAACCCAGCCAGGTGCAGTGGTGCACATCTATAATCCCAGCAGCCAGGAGGCTGAGACAGGAGACTCACAAGTTCAAAGCCAGCCTCAGCAACTTTGTGAGGCCCTATGCAACTTACAAGAAGACCCTGTCTCAAAATGAAACATAAAAAGGGCTGGGTATTTGGCTCAGTTGTTAAGAGTGCCCCTGGGTTCAATCCCTGGTACCAAAAAAAACCAAACCCAAACAAAAACCAATCTAGTTATGATCATCTATTGTTCTGCCTCTATTGAGGTCCAAAATAGAAGTGAGTTTGTTTTTCAAAAGGAGGAATTGCTTACAGCCTTTAGAAAAACACCCAAAGTAAGTTGCTCTGTTGAGTTCTTGTCAAATGCTCCTTGCCTGATTTGACACTTCCATAAGGTCTAATCTGGAAGCAGGAAAGGAGGCCCCATGTGACTCTCCATTCTTCAGCAAAACAGAGCAGCTGGCTGGGATAGGGTCTTCTTTTCCCTGGAGGGACAGATAGGTCCCACATGAAACCTGTGTCATGTTTTTGCCTGCAGGAGACTGCTGGTTTCTTGCAGCCATTGCCTGCCTGACCCTAAATGAGCGGCTTCTTTTCCGAGTTATACCCCACGATCAAAGTTTCACGGAAAACTACGCAGGAATCTTCCACTTCCAGGTGAGGTTATGAGAGTATGGTAAGAGGCCCAGCTGTAGCCCCCACCACTTCCAGCTTCATAAAAGGTTCTTTCCACCCACCCAGCCATAGCAGTGGGCAGCGACCCCTAAATGCTTCAAGCCTGTGAGAAAGCAGGTGTTTATCTCTGACCCCTGGGCCCCACATACCTTCCACTGCACCCCAGAATGCCAGGAAGACATTGCTGTTAACGGGTCTATTTTTGCTCTTCAGCTGGCTGGCTAACATGGTATTGCCAGCAGGCCTTCTCAAGTAGGCCCGTGAGACATTAGCTCTGGGAAGCCATAAGCTCCTTTGGGCTCTGTCAGAATTCCTGGTTCATGAACTACAGCTCTTTTTACTTTCTGCCCTTTAAATGTTTCACTTGCCCCTTCCAGAGCCTGGAAGAAAGTTGTAGTTAATCTGGGGATCATGATTCTGGTTTGGTCCAGAACTGAGTCTCTTAATTCTAGAACCATTCAGCCATTGGAAATATTCTGAGTCCAAATCATCTTAGTAACAAGAGCCAAATCCTGGTGTTGAACCAGAACTAAAGTGAATTCTGCATGTGGGGATCTGGTACTTTCTGGAGTTATGAGGAGTCTGTCTCCAGTTCTGACGGCTCCTCAGTATCCTGATATCAGTTGATATGCCTGCTGTCTTGTACCTCAGCACTGAAGGCCTCAGATAGGGTCTGTCTGCAGGTTCTGCATCCTGCTGGCTTCTGAATGGGAATGGAAACCAGGCCCTGAATTATGTCTTCCCTGTGCCATCAAACTACCAGTTTCCCTCTGACATTTAAAGGGTCTCATATCTAAAGGGCCATAAACACAAAGACCAGACAGATTTTTGTCTTCTTTTCAATGAAGAAGAAAGTACCATTGGAAGGGAGATTAAACTACACATTTGGCCTTTTTCAGTTTAAATTCATTTATTCAAAAAAGTATATCCAGAAATGAAATGATCGAACAATATTTCTACTATAGCCAGAGTCTATTTTCAGTCACTTTCACTTTCCTTTTCCATTTTAATTCTTCTTCAGTTTGTTATCAAGAAATAAATAAATCAGCCAGGCATGGTGGTGTACTCCTGTCATCTCAGCAACTCCAAAGCTAAGGCAGGAAGATTGCAAATTTGAGATCAACTCAGTCAATTTAGCGAGAACTGTCTCAAACTCAAGACAAAAAATAAAAGGGCTGGGGATATAGCTTAATGACACTGGATTCAATCCTCAATACCACCAAAAGCACGGTGGGGTGTGTGCTGGGAATGCATAAATCAGTATCAGTACAACACCTTCCCTGATCACAGGAGTTCTCAATCTTGGCTACATATTGAGAATCATCTGGGACACCTAAAAATATGCATATTCAGCTGTAGCTCCAGACCTCTTAGGCTGGGGAATGAAAATCTCAAATCCTAACATGACATTGAGTACCTACTGTACCCAGTATTGGGCTGTACTCTGTGGAAGAGATTAAGTGGTCTATAACTCACTTCCTGCTCTCAAGAAAGTCACAGTACAACTAGAAATAGATATACACACCACAAACTCAGAATGGGATGAACAAGCATATGTCCTAATGGTAATCTGAGTATATGACCCTGTGCTTCATGCTTCTGTGCAGTTCTGGCGCTATGGAGACTGGGTGGATGTGGTTGTTGATGACTGTCTGCCAACGTACAACAATCAACTGGTTTTCACCAAATCCAACCACCGCAATGAGTTCTGGAGTGCTCTGCTGGAGAAGGCATATGCTAAGTAAGGCAATACTATAGAATGCAAGACAGATGAGAGGCAAGGGAGCCCAGGTGTCACAGCAGGATGCATGTGTTTATGTTCATATGTATTGTGGGAATTCAGCTGTGACCCAAAGTCAGAGAAGATTGGGTCCAGGCAGCCACATCTCCAAGAATACTAAGTTTAAGAGAAGAGAGAGTGGGCTCGGGATATAGCCCAGTTGGTAGAGTGCTTGCCTCATATACACAAGGCCCTGGGTTTGATCCCCAGCATCACCAAAAAAAAAAAGGGTGAAATGAAGATTTGTGCAAGAAACCTTTAGCTTTAGCTTTCCATAGTGAACTCTTTTAATTCTACATTCCTGATGGTGTTGAAAGTCATTGGTCAGAGCATTGTATCTCTAGAGCTCAGACCCTACAATTTTACTTGTCTCCATCTCATGAACTCATAGATGGGCTTGTAGCATATTCATAATAACACCATACTGTCTCTCAACTTAGAAGCTCCACTCCAACTGCTATTGGCTTTAACTCAGCCCGACCTCAAGATTCAGCATATAGAATAGCTGGGTTCCACTGCCAGTGCTTCTAGCTCTTTGTGTCCTCTTGAGTTCAGCTTTGTTGTGAAGAAAGACAGTCATATTGTTTCATTAGTTCATAGAACTATTGGGAAATGAGAGAATATTACAGGATTTTAAGAGTAAAGTTCTGGGGGCAAAGGGACCTGGTCATATTTCTTGGAACTCTGTGACTCCAGGTTGGTCTTTGTCCTTTCTTCAAGGCTGCATGGTTCCTATGAAGCCCTGAAAGGTGGGAACACCACAGAAGCCATGGAGGACTTCACAGGAGGGGTGACAGAGTTTTTTGAGATCAAGGATGCTCCCAGAGACATGTACAAGATAATGAGGAAAGCCATTGAGAGAGGTTCCCTCATGGGCTGCTCCATTGATGTAAGTCTGTGGTGTGGGTTGCAAGGCAGGGAAGCTTTTCACTCAGTTAATGGCAATATCAAGCTTCCATCTGAGACATAATGAAAGTTTTCAGAATCAGAAGCAGATTCTTGACTTTGAAAATGAGGAATTTTTAAAGAGTGTTATTCCTGAAAAATTTCAATAAAGAAATTGGGCAAGAACATTTTAAACCCTGAAATTTAGGTGGAAATAGGTCTAGAGGCCTATGTCGTGGAGGCCTCTCTTGTCTGAATTGCTCAGTGCAAGCTTGCCCCATAAGTTGGCCTCATCCTTGATTATGGGCCTGGGCCCACCAGTCATTTCCTTAAGAAAGCCTCCTAGTCATTTGGCCTTGACCACAATGCCTGCTTGCAACATGGGCTTTGTGTTTTTATCTGCAAGATCAGCCTCTCAGTGCAAGAAGGTGGTATGAACGGATAGATACAGGAACCAACGGTAAGGAGATGGCAGATCATGCCCAGGGCTCCTGAGTTTCAGGAGACACACCTTCCCTGAGGGCTATTCAATGTAGTCTTGGTAGTTTCCCTTTCAGAGGAAGGGGCCCAAATTAATTCCTGCTCCCTTCTTGCCTAACACTCCCAATGGATAGAAAGGCTTAGAAGGCAAGTTGGCTAAATTAGATGAACATTTGCTTTCTTTATCACTTTTCTCCATCTTTTCTCTATTCATGCTCTGTTGATCTCTCCTCTTTTCCTTTGTCTGTCCCCTCCCTTATTTCTATATCCTTCCCTTTCCACCCTCCTTTGTTTGTTCTCTCCCCTCTCCTGGGTTGTCCCCCACACTCTTGGCGGGCCTCAGGATGGCACAAACATGACCTATGGAACCTCTCCTTCTGGTCTGAACATGGGGGAGTTGATTGCACGGATGGTGAGGAATATGGATAATTCGCTGCTCAGGGACTCAGACCTCGACCCCAGAGGCTCAGATGACAGACCTACACGGGTGTGTATGACTCCCACTGTCAAAATAGACCAACCCGCAAGCTGCATGACCCTCCCCTGCTGCTGTCAGACTCTCCTTTGCAACCACTGCAAATGAAGCAAATTTTCTCCCCTTTGTTTAATAATCTAGTGAAGAAATCAAAGTCTCCCTCCTCATAGGCCTTACATTCTAATACTTTCAGAAGTTCTACATGTTCGTGGAAGAAGACTGAGTCATACAGAAAAGTATAGAGGAAAATTCAACCTATATTTTCCCCATTTAAAAATAATCATTCTTAACATTTGATAAATGTCCTTCTGGGATTCTTCTATGCATATAATCTACATTTTTGTTTTAAAAATCTTGTCATATTTTTATACTTCTTTGTAGCCTGCTTTTTTCATTAGTTTTTATATTCTTAATATGACAATAAGTATTCTCCTATAACTTTTTTACTCAAGCACAATATCCCAATATGCAGCTATTATATTTACTAAGCCCAATATGGGTCCAGGAATCTCCCCTTGAATCTGCTGTGCTTCCAAGCCTGCTGACACCTAGGCAGTCTATCTAGCATTCATTGGGCCTTGGCAGTCCGACCTTTCTGCCAAGGTTCTTTGTGGCTGCAACTCAAATATTTCTGCACATGGAACAGCTAACCCTGCACTCTTAAGCACATTCATTTCTGAACAGGGAAATCTCCTAAGAAATCTATCCCTGGATACCGTGACTCTTGATTTCTTGAATATCATCTTCTAGGTGGGTGTGAAGGAGATGAGGGGATGTAGAGAAAAGTTTAGACCCATATGTTTCATTGAGCCCCTTTTCTAGGAATAGTCAATCCTGGATGGGCTCAGGGGAAGGAGGAACCCCAAATCCAGGACAACCCTAGATTTCCACCTTCTTCCTTTGAAGAATCCTAAGGGGGCCATAAAGGAGGAACAGAAATGCTGTCACCCACCTTGCATCCCAGTGTCTACCTTGTTATTTGGTAGTCCAGGCAGAACCTTCTCAGAGTGACCAGCTGCTCTGGGGCTGTCTTTTTGATGCTCTTAAAGGGCAAGTGGGGCCCCTGCTCCTGATCATGAGGCATACTTTCAGGGAGTAAAGTAGTTCTTGTCCTCACAGAAACCAGAAAATGGACTTATATGAACTTACTCTCCAGGTAGCAGAACTTCTGCTCCCCTAACTCCTAACAGGCTGCCTGGTTATTGCTCCACAGACAATTGTTCCTGTTCAGTATGAGACAAGAATGGCCTGCGGGCTGGTCAAGGGTCATGCCTATTCCGTCACTGGGCTGGAGGAGGTGAGACAGCTGGGGCTCCATGGGGTATGGGGACCTACTTGAATTAAAGTTGGAATTAGCTTTCTGTGCCCCTTCCCTATTCACAGAGCTTGCCCAAAATCAGGGAATTCCACTCAAGGTACAAGCAAAGCACCTGGAAGTGGGGAGGCTTTTGAGAACTGGTAGAGGGGGACCTTACCTCAGATGGTGCTCAGTTTAACTTTTCTTTTAATGTTAAAGATGATAATTTTCCCAAAATTTCCAAGGAACAAATAGAACTAATGCTTTGGTTCTACAAAGGTAGTCTTCTGTTGTGTTTTTTGTTCTCTCATGTTCAAACAGTTAGAATGTTTTGTTCCTTCTGGGAATTCTGGATTTTCCTGGTATGTCACAGATAGAAACCTTGTCAGGCCCATTGCACACAGATGGACAGATTGTGCTCAGACAGAGGGATGGATAGAGAGGGGCTCTTGTCTGTTTCAGCCCATGGGAGCCACCTGGAGGACAGGCACCTTTTTCTAAATGGTCCAACTGGAGGGGGCATTTGTCTGTAGTTTCTCAGGCAGTAGGTGGCTTTTTTAAAAGTCACACAGATACCTAATGTGTATAAGCTAGTGCAGAACCCTAATGTTTGTTCCTCCTCTGAAGCTCATAATGGACTAGAATGTTCTCTAGGAAAGTCACTTCTTAGAAGATGGTAAGACAACAGTCAGGCCCTAACTCCTTCTGACTCAGTCCTAAGGTTTTGACCCCTCACCCTAACATTTCACAGGCAGGACAGTCCCAGAACAGATATCTCTCCATCCCTATCCCAGCCCTCAGGGCAGGACAGATGCTCCCCTTTCTAGATAGGCTCCACAGCATGAGAACTTTTTCACTTTGCTCAAGGCCCTGTTCAAAGGTGAGAAAGTGAAGCTGGTGCGGCTGCGGAACCCCTGGGGCCAGGTAGAGTGGAATGGCTCTTGGAGTGATGGGTAAGTGAGGGGACCCATGGAAGACGGCAACAGGGTCTGGGAAAGGCTGGACTGGGAACTGAGCCATGAGAGTATTATGATTGCTGGGTGTAATATCACCCTCAAAACCAATGACCATCATTCAGAGAAGAAGGTGCAGATGTGGGCTTCAGGGAAGGACTGGGAGTAAAGCAGGGATGCCAGGGACACAGAGAAGTTGCTGATGGTCAGTAGACTGGAAAGGAAGGCTTCCAGAAAGCTTGGGCCAGGCCCAGGCAGGAATGGAGTCTTAAGTCAGGGGTATGGACTGGATAAGTGATTTCCCTTCTTGTCTCTTTGTCCTATCTGTAAAATGGAAACATTCGTGGATGTTATAAGAAGTAAATGTGACAGTTTCTGGAACATGCTTACCTAGTGCTGAAACTTTTTCCCCCCTCCCTTTCTGTCACCATACAAAGGTACACAATCCCCTCTGAAAGAATTTTACTGTTTATCACTTAAAGGAATAAACTAGGGGCATCAAAAATAGAAAATATGGAAAAGTTATTATGTGAAGGATACAAAACATTTACAACACCTCTACAGTTCCACTCAGTCACTGGTTCAGGGTTGTCTCTGCTGAATGGCAGGTGGCCTCTTGAGTTCTCTTTTTATTCCTAGGAGGTGATAGCAGGACTCAGTAGCTAAGAACCAAACCCAGGTCCTGTGGGGCCCTGTGCTTATGTACCTAACACCTTTTATCCCATTGCACTGCAATTAACTGTTTATTCCAGTTATTCATTCCTTTAGCAAATGTTTGTTGAACACCAACTATAAATAGGAGGCACAGATGTAGGCACTGGAGATATTCTGTGAGCAGGCAGCCTCTCTTGATAGTCTGTGATAAGTTGTTGACTTTATGTTCTTCCTTTCTCCTATACACATTCACATGCATTGCTTCATTTGTCCATGTGACAAATCCTTACTCCTTGGTAATATCTGCCAGGCCCCGTGATACTGTCCTACTGTTTTTTGGATGGCCTTGCCCATCCAAAAAAGAGACAGACATGCTACTAATAAATTGAGACCATTGCTGTGGTAAGGATCACAAAGAGGGAGCCCTTGGCTAGTTTGGGTTGGATGGGAAATGTAGACATGCTTGGAGGGAGTGATTATGAATGGGGCTTTCTACTCTGGAAAGTCCCTCGATACCCCATCGTTGTCTACTCCACTGGCCTGTGCTTTTCAGCCTCAGTTTGATGTCCAGACTTCATTCACTTCCTGCTGAACTCTCCATTGCTGGCAAGTGGGGCCCAGCCCTTGGTCACTCAAGGAGACTCCTCCAGCCCATGTCCCTTCTTCTGGCCTCAGGAATCTCCATTTCTCCTTCAGTAATTTTGGACTCTAAGCATTTCCAGAACCCAATTTAGCTTAATTCTTCTCAGTAAGCCTAAAACACAAATGTGCTTTTTTTATTTTTTTCCTCCCACTTGCAGTGAGAGTCTGTATAAAAAACTTCCCAGCCTCAGAAACACGATAGTAGGATGTTTCCTGACAGGAGAGGGGGAAAAAAAGATATTTCCATGCTTGGTCTTTTTCTTAGTAGCTCGGTTTCTTATATAGCATCGCGTGATTTCGTCTACTCAGCCTGTAAGATGATAATGTAATCATTTCCCTTTGGCACTTGAGGAAACAGAACCTGATGAGAGTTGAATGACTTGCCCAAGGTTACACAGCTAGGTCTGTTATTAAAGGAGAATCTCAGTTTGTCTATTTGCAGAGTCCAGCTCTTTTTTTTTGACAGATTAATTATTTTATTTTTATGTGATACTAAGGATCAAATCCACTGTTTCACATATGCTAGGCAAGTGCTTTTCCACTGAGCTATAGCCCTAGCCACACCCCCAAGAGTTTAGCTCTTATCTTTAAAGTGTGAAAAAATATTCAGCTAGAGAAGGCTACAGTTCATATACTCTTTAAAGAGTTTGGTCTTCATCTTGAGGATAGCAGGAAGAAATTATAGTTTTTCACTGGGGGTGACAGGTCAGACCAGCATTTTCATGGCTCACATTGGCTACAATTTGGAGATAGGCTGCTACTTCAACTTTCTATTTCTCTGATATCTCCTGTCCCAACACACCTCAGGCCTTTCCCTTCTTTCTCCTTCCACAATACCTCCATTTCTCCACCAGTTGGAAGGATTGGAGCTTTGTGGACAAAGATGAGAAGGCCCGTCTGCAGCACCAGGTCACTGAGGATGGAGAGTTCTGGTGAGTCCAGGACCCAGAGGACCCAGAAGGGGTAAGGGACAGGGAAGGAGGGTCAAATATCAGACCTCAGTCCTTAGGCAGATGCTGTCGGATTTCAGTTCTTGGGTGATTGGGGCTCTGTTCTCTTCCTTCAGCTAGAGGGCCAGCAACAATGAGGTTCTGGTCACAGTAACCGCAATCAGGTCACAGTGATGACTGAGTCCAGGACCAGGGCAGCATAATGCAGATCTTGTTCCAGCCACACTTGTTCCTTGGCTTTAACATCACTCTCCTCTGAGCCTGGGAAGCTCTACTTGCCCTGATCCCTAATGCTACCTTCACCCTCACACAGATCATCTCTACTCAGCCTTCATGTCTCAGCTTAAAGGGAACTTTCTTCAGGGCTCTCTTAGTTCCTCCAGGACTGAGATTCATTTATTTGTAAGGCTTGTCACCCTTAAAATTGTTTGCTTAATTTTTCATCCTTTTCCAAAGGTTCTCTTTCCCCTGGGCCTGGTACTCTGCCTGGTGAGCTGTAGAGGGACACATGGGACATGACAAGCTTTTAGATAACTAATATTTCATCTAACTCCTCCATCAAGCATACATGAGTTTGAGTCATTACTAGAAGACTTGAGGATAATTTGGGGTAGACGCATTAAAACTGACATTGTACCCTAAAAAGAAAAGGCAGGCTTCTCCGGGACATTGATCAAGTTCCTCTGAACTAATTTATTGTCCTGTGTCAGCTTGGAGTCTTCCCATTCCCAGCTTCTTCTGACCTATTCTTATATGGATATCTCTTCTTTCAACCCATCAGGATGTCATATGAGGATTTCATCTACCATTTTACAAAGCTGGAGATTTGCAACCTCACAGCTGATGCCCTGGAGTCTGACAAGCTTCAGACCTGGACAGTGTCCGTGAATGAGGGCCGCTGGGTGAGGGGCTGCTCTGCTGGAGGCTGCCGCAACTTTCCAGGTGGGAGATACTCTTGATGGGGGAAGGGTCCAAGCAGAACAAGTTCCAGGTAGAATCATATCAGTGATTATTTTCTGAGTCTCTGCAAAGCTCCAGACGTCTATTATCTTATGAAATCCTGTTTATATTACTGAGAAGGAAACTGCCATGCTGTGGAGTTTGCAAGGGAGCTGGTAATAACATTTAAGCAGGAAACTGTCAGAACAATACTGTGTTGGTCATGTTGAGGATACTAGTGGAGAACAAAGTTAGTAGCTACTGTGGTTGTTCAAATCAGAACAACCACAGTAGCTACTAACTTAAGGCCTGGAACCAAGTCAGTAGCTGCAGAGATGGAGGGGAGAAGGCAGATTTAGGGGAACGTATATTAGGTAATTTAGGGAGGGAAGAATGAAAAATGATGTCAAGATGTCCAGAGCAGGTTTGGGAGTATAGCTCAGTGATAGAGCCCTTACCTAGCATATGAGGCCCTGGGTTTGATTCCCCAGTACTGTAAAGAAAAAAGGGTGCTGGGCATGGTGCACTCACCTGTAATCCCAGAAACTCAAGAGGCTGAGGCAGGAGGATCACAAATTCAAAGCCAGCCTTAGTAACTTAGTGAAGCCCTAAGCAATTCAGCGAGACCCTGTCTCTAAATAAAATATAAAAAAGAGGTTGGGGATGTGGCTCATTGGTTAAGAGCCCCTGAGTTCAATCCTCAGTAAAAAGGGGGGAAAAAAGAAAGAGAAAGAAAGGAAGGTAGATTGGTTGGTTGATTCCCAGTGTAGGGACCTGAGCAGATGATGTCAACATTGCAATATAAGACAATAGAAGACACACTGAGGGGGAAAAAATATCAGCATGTTGTTTGTTTTAGATGGATTGGTTGTGAGGTTATGAGAAGAGGACTTTAATTTGGGACATGGCAAGTTTGAGGTCCCTATCCAATATTCAGATGAAGATTTGTATTGGGCTAGGGATATAGTTCAGTTGGTAGAGTGCTTGCCTTACATGCCCAAGGCCCTGCCTGGGTTCAATCCCCAGCGCCACAAAAATAAATAAATAAATAAATTTTATTAGAGAATTACATGATAAGAACTCTTAAATGTTTGAGGAAGGAAGGGAGAGAGAAAAGGAAGGAAAGAAGAGAGTCAGAAGAGAGACTGGCTCAGGTGCCATCAGTGTAGAGGGAACAATTAAAAAGTGGAATTGGGGAAGATTGCCTAGGGAGACAGGAGATGAGAGGAGAGGTCTAGAACTAGATCCCAGGGCTCAACAACATTTGTGGTGCAGATAAGGAAAGCAAAGCCATCAGCAAAGACTGAAAATCAGAGTTCAGAGAAAAAGAGAAACTACACATCCAATCAGTGTGGTTCCATCTGATAAAAGTAGAGACTCCACCCACCAAATATTTAGACAAATACTTAAATCATGTTTTCAACAAATATTTATTAAGCACCTAGATGCAGGGCATATTAGGGTCCTCTGGAGAAAAATAACCAATAGAATAGGTGATAGACAGATGGATGGATGGATATACAGAGGATTTATTAGGGGAATTGGCTTACATGATAATAAAAGCTGAGAAGTCCCACAACATGCCATATGCAAGCTGGAGACCCTTGGATGCCAGTAAGTGTGGTCCAGTCCAAGTTGGAAGGCCCGAGAAGCAGGGAAGTTGGTGGTATAATTTTCTGTCCAAGGTCAAAGAAGGGAACTGGCAGGGGGAGTGGTGATGATACTGGTATAAGTCTTGGAGCCCAGAGGTCAGAGAGCCTGGAATTATGATGTCTAAGGACAGGAGAGTATCCCAACTAGAGAGAGGGAGAGAGAATTCTTTTCTTGCCATATTCTTGTCCTATCTAGGCCCCCAGCTGATCAGAGGGTGCCCACCCCACTTAGTCTACCAACACACAGCCAATTCCTTCTGTTAACACTCACAGACACACTCAGAAATAATGTTTTACCAATTCTCTAGATGTTCTTTAATCTAGTTGGCACCTTAAATTTATCATCACATGGTGGATACAGATGAATAAGGTGTCTGTCTCATTTTTCCTCCTGCCCTTTCTCTAAGAGGCAGATCTGAATATACATTTCTTTTCTGGGGGACATAGACACTTTCTGGACCAACCCACAGTACCGCCTGAAGCTCCTGGAGGAGGACGATGACCCTGATGACTCTGAAGTGATCTGCAGCTTCCTGGTGGCCCTGATGCAGAAGAACAGGCGGAAGGACCGGAAACTGGGGGCCAATCTCTTCACCATTGGCTTCGCCATCTACGAGGTATGCAATCCCTGACCAGCTCCAGTCCAGGAAACACCTTTGTAGCAAGAAGGATTTGGGGGACAAAAGGGTCCTCTAGCTTCCCTAATACGGAGTGAACCCCAGAACTCCTGTTATCAAGCTCACTTGTGTTTGTTAACAAGCAGGAAATTCCAGGGGGTGCCGTAGAGAGGAGCTGGGTCTGGCAGGCTGGCCTGCTTCACGAGGAGTCATATTCTGCATTTCTGTCATTGCTGGCCTTCCCTTCTGCCAACTATTTATCCTCATTCAGATCTGATATGTCTTTCTTTCCTGTTTCTCCTCAAGGTTCCCAAAGAGGTATAGCAGTGGCAGCGCCAGCAGTTGTGTGCAGCATTCCCTGGGGGTCCTGAGTCTGTCTGTGGCTCACCGAGACGCTTCCTGGTGGGGTTTGTGGGCAGAACTATGATAGGAGAGGGCCCTGCCTACCTTATTTCATCTGCAGAGAAAGTGCTTCAGGATACTGCACCCCCAAGATGTGCACTTTCTCCCTCTTACCATACACCTTCACATACTCATACCCATGCAACTACACACCCACAAGCAGAGTCACACAGACATGTTCTGAGGGGTTGGATGGAGGAATCACCTCCCTCAGAACCCAGCCAAGGCCCCTCTGCTTCTTTGGGGTCCTTCCCAGCCTGAGGGGATTTGGAGCAGACAAGCAGCAGTTCTGGTAAGTGGCCCTGTGTGTGGGAACAATAGACTTGACCTTCACTTCTGAATCACCACAAAAAAGGAAGAGGAAGTGAGGTAGGGAGCTCCAGTGATGTTAAGCTATTTGAGGCCTTGGGAATTGGAAGTAGGTAGGGGGAGACTGTGAATGGGTGACCACAGAGTTGGGAAGGGACCTCTGGAGTGAACTGTGAACCAGATAAGACAGCCCTCCCAAGAGGCTCAGGTTCCACAGGCTCTTCTATCCCCCAGATGCATGGGAACAAGCAGCACCTGCAGAAGGACTTCTTCCTCTATAACGCCTCCAAGGCCAGGAGCAAAACCTACATTAACATGCGGGAGGTGTCCCAGCGCTTCCGCCTGCCTCCCAGCGAGTATGTCATTGTGCCCTCCACCTATGAGCCCCATCAGGAGGGGGAATTCATCCTCCGGGTCTTCTCTGAAAAGCGGAATCTATCTGAGTGAGTAACAACCTGACTATCCCCTCCTATCCCTAAAAGCTTACATGGCTCATTCCACATAATGGAGGCAGGAAGCAATTGGATTGTTTTATTCAAGGTTCCCTGGGACATATTGGCCAGTCTGCATCTCTTTCCCACTCCTACGTCACTTCTCCCTCATTTGTTGGTTCATTCATCTTGCAGATATTTACTGAGTACCTACTGTGTCTCTGGTCTTCTAGGCATTAGGGATAGAGAAGTGAATTAAACAGAAAGAAATCCCCGCTTTCATGAAATTTTAACAGCTGGTGTGAAAAAAACAATGGATAGGAAATAACAACCACAACAATAACAAATGTATATATATATATATATATATATATATATATATATATATATAAATATACACACACTGTAGTATGCTAGATTTGGGAGTTGATAAAGGAATAAAAACAAAATAAAGAAGAGGTATAGGAAATGTTGGAGATGATTGAAATTTTAGGTTAGTGTAGCAAGGGAAGCTAGTAAGGCCAATCCTATCCTTGCCCACCACGGATATGTTGATAATCCCTGCCGTACTCTGATCTATATCCCTGGAAGTGCAAGATCCATGGGGAGGTAGCTGTGTCATGCCTTTAGGGAGCTCTGGACAATACCAACAAGAAGCCATGTGGTTGGGCTTGGCTATTGGGGATGGTGCCTACATGGGGCTGGTTCCTGGGGTAGAGGTTTAGCTCCAGGAGTTCTCTTAAGTTTAGTCCCAGTTTGGCACCAAGAAGCCTTATGACCTGAGCAAATCCCCCATCTGCTTCCTGCTTGCTCCTGGTGACACTGAAAACCATGTTTGTGTTTCTTACAGGGAAGTCGAAAATACAATCTCCGTGGATCGGCCAGTGGTGAGTGGATTAGCCCTCATGTGTGACAAGGGTCAGAAGGTCAGCTTCCCCAGTTCAGGCAGGGAACAGGTTGGGATAGAGGGGTGAGTGGGTATTGGCAGAGGGGATTGTTACAGCAACTTCTAGTAGGCATGGCCAGAAGTAATGGGTCTCATAGTCCTAAGGCCATTTAGTTAGTTCAGGGACTGGGAAATGTGGAAAAGGGGAGTAGTTTGAACAATTAGAGGAAGGAAACAAGGCCATAGGAAAGGATGACAACAAGAACTGCAGCCAATGTTGGATTATGAAGTTGGAAAACAATGGATTTCTTGCATAGAGGAAAGGAAATGCACCACCTCTGGACCCAGTTTCAAAACCTGGATCCTTCAGATCTATTGCCTGGGTGACCTGACCTGGACAATTATAGAACCCCTATGACTCAGTTTCCTACTCTGAAAATTGGGGATAATGATAATGATTGCCTGGCAATGCTTTTGTGGGGTTTAAATCAATAAGATCATGTGTGAAATGTCTGGTACAACATGGACACTCAAATGGAGGTTATTATTCACGTTTTACGACTTGTAAAGTACTTTTCTATATGGTATCTCACTTAATCCTTGCAAATTTTCTGAGAAGTAGATGAGGTTATTATCTCTGCCTTTGAATCAAGGAAGCAGAGGCTCAGTAGGGTTAAATGACTTCCTTGCATTCATGGAGTTCATAATTGACAGGCAGGACTAGAACTCAATTCCAGAATCTGACTCCAGATTTAGGTCCCCCCACCTCCTTGCTGAAGCAGGCCCCTAGGGCTAAGAACCCTAACACCAGAAGCACAGAGTTGCTGTGCCTTAGAATCTCCATACTGAAGAAAATCCTGTCTGCCTTGGGGCTTTGGGCTCTGGTTAGAAAGTCGTCTTGTGCCCAGTGGGTGTGACATGAGCCAATAGGAGGACAAATGACCACTGAACTGTCTTCCTGGTCGGGAGGGTCAGGATTCTGACCCTATGCTAGTGCTCAGATTTTCAGAATCATGACAGATATTTGGTTTTAGAATAAATATGCATTTGGTACTATTATTATTCTTCAGACACTTATAATCAATGTACAGGATTTATTAGAAGTTGTACATTCACATTCTTATGGGAGTTGGCATGTCACCTAACTGAAATAGAACAAGCAGGTGTAGGGGTTTGGTTGTCTCTAATACTGCCATATTTGTCTGCAGTTCTCACATATCACTTGGCTTCAGTGTTGGAGGGACAACTGGAGTGGCAGCAACTATGGCAATCTGGAGGCTGCAGAGAACAGCCACTCTTAGCTCAGCTAATTATTACCATAGGGAATTCCAGGCCCAGTATAGCCCACTAGACCTTCTAATTTTACAAAAGAAGCCCCAAACTTGAATTTCAAATCTCCATACATTAAATGTTTTCTCCAAAGTTAAAAAGATTTTTTTCTGTCATTCAAAATCATTTATAAGTCAGTTTGAGTGAGTCACATTTTTAGTGTTTTAGTAACCAATCTTATCCCCTGACCCCAAGATTGAACCCAGGGGCACTCTACCACGGAGCTGCATCCCCAGTCCTTTTTATTTTTTATTTTGAAAAAGGGTTTCACTAAATTGCACAGGCTGACCTTGAACTCAGAATCCTCCTGCCTCAGCCTCCTGAGTCACTGGGATTATAGGGTGTGTGCTACCATGATCAGCTACCAAATTCATTAAAAAAAGCCAGAAGGTCCCTTCCCCTGACCTTATTCAACAATAGTGGATTATTAAAACAAAGCTAGAGCAGCCACATCTCTAGACATAGATGTGGAAAAAGAATTCTCTCCTCCCTTCACCTATTTTTCCTTTTTGACACAAAGTAATCCAGATATCTGGACCCCAGAGCCTTACCCCAAGTATGGATCAGGATGCAGGGAAGCCCAATGCCACCAGCCATTCTGGCAACTTGCTTTTCACTTATTCTGCATTTACTATTTCCTTTTCTTATGCAGAAAAAGAAAAAAACCAAGGTGGGTGTAACGGGGTGAGTGGGTAGAGAGTTGTGTGTGTGCATGCGTGTGCATGCTCTTATGATGCATGCGCCAGACTAGCCTCTTCCTCTCCCTCCTTCCCTGTGCCCCTACTGGGATCTTGAGTGTGTAATAGTGACAGCTGATACTTGCTGAGGAGACACTGTGCTGGGTGCATTCCATGGATTAACTCAATCCTTACAACCACCTTATGAGATTGGCACCATTATTATCCCTATTTTTAGAGGGGAAGAAAAGGTACAGACAAACTAATTTGCCCAGGGTCATACAGCCAAGAAGAGGCAGAGCTAGCTTTGGAGTCCAGTGGTCTGGCTCCACCTGTGCCCTGAACCACCCACCACAGGCCATCAGACAAGGTTTGGTGCTAGTATTTATGGGGATGCTAGTGGGTCCATCACAGGGTTTCTCCAACTATAGTGACTGGCCCAGACCAGAACCAACAGTCACCAAGCACTGTGCTGGTGGTAAAATTAGTTTCTTTTATATCTTTATTTTTATTTATTTATTCATTTTTATGTGGTGCTGGGGATCGAACCCAGGGCCTCATGCATTCAAGGCAAGCGCTCTACCACTGAGCTACAGCCCCAGCCCCTAAAATTAGGTTTTTGATTTTTTATTTATAACAATATTTAAACAGTGGGTGCTGTTTTTATTCCCCTTTTACAGGTGAGGGTACAGGTTCAGACAAGTAAGGTGACTTGTCCCCAAATAAACACATAATGAGTGGGGGAACTAGAACTGGAGACTAACATCTAAGGCCTGTTTCTTGCCCTCGCTTCTCTGGTGCCAGCCTCTTATACTCAACGTCTGTGTTGTCTAAACACACATTATTTGGGCCTGGATTCATGTTTCTGGCAGGGATGTTCCATGGCTGCATCATGTCTCCTGGCATTTATCCCTTTTCGGATTGTAACTTCCACTTGTCTTTGGATCCCTGCAAGCTTCAATTGCTTGGACAAGGCCCCTTTCTTAAAAGAACAAGCCAGGGCCTTCAGAGCCTGTTGGGTGCTGAAGCTGTGGGAACTGTAGTTGTAGGCCTGCCCACTTGACAAGCAGCATGAAAAGACAATGGGGCAGAGGTGGGTCAGGTTGCTTTTCTGCTCTGAGAATCTGCTTACTTTATTGTTTTCTGCACTCAGCCCCCAAACCCTATAGTTAAGTCTTTCCCAGACTTTGCCTATGGGTGCAATATCTTCCACCTATGTTGGCATGACATGGCAGCTGCTCTCCAACCCTTCGCATATTCTTTTGCATGAGCATATCTTAAAAATATCCCTTATATTTTTGTAGCATTTTTTGAGAGAGAGAGAGAGAGAGAGAGAGAGAATTTTTTAATATTTATTTTTTAGTTTTCGGTGGACACAACATCTTTTTTATTTTTATGTGGTGCTGAGGATCGAACCCAGCACCGCGCACATGCCATGTGGCTCAAGCCACATCCCCAGCCCCATTTTGTAGCATTTTTAATATTTTTGCAGTATAAAGTATAATTTTACATGCAGTATAACTTACATTCTCTTTTGATCTCCACAAAAGCCCTGTCAGGAGAAAAGCCCAGGTTTTACTATCCCCATTAATAGATGAGTAAACAGGCCAGTGAAAGTATTTCTTATGTGAGGGACAGGGCTAGTTGGTGTTTTGATCATGCCTTGACCACACCATTAATCATTCTTTCAGTCTACACTCTACAAAGTCCCAGAGGTTGATGGGAGGTTCCTCAGTAGCCACCATGGTGATGTGGGTATGGAGGAAAAGGAGCTGTCCTCGTTAACTAGAGAAGCTCTGTGTGTGTGTGTGTGTGTGTGTGTGTGTGTGTGTGTGTGTGTGTGTTTTACTGGGGATTGAACTCAGGGTGCTGTACCACTGAGCTACAATCCCTGCTCTTTTTGAGACAGGGTTTCTTTAAGTTGTTGAAGCTGGCTTCAAACTTACCATCCTTCTGCCTCAGCCTCTCCAGTAGCTGGGATTATAGGCATGCACTACTGTGGCCAGCTGGAACTTTTATTAAGACTTTATTTATACAGGACTTCTGGGGGAAATTGAATTTGAAGTTATTTCCATTTGGGGAAAAAAGTCTAAAATATTTGAAAATCACTTCCCTAGATCATGCTGTTATAACATTGGTAGCATTTTCACATGTACTTACCTTGTTGCACCTTTGTACTACCATGAGAGATGGGGTGGGTATTAAAAAATGAAGATCTGAGGTCCACAGAGGCCTGGCAACTTTTCCCTAGTCGCACAGCTTATTGGCGGCAGAGATGGAGCTTGAACTGAGAGGTTCAGGAGCTCCTGACCCTGATCTTTTCTTCTCACTGAAAAAAGCTGCTCCGGGGGGAGGTTGCCTAAATGTGCCTGCTCAGCCTGTAATCCTTGCTTCCTTCCTGCCCCTCCCCACTTCCCTCCTCTCTCCAGCCCATCATCTTCGTTTCAGACAGAGCAAACAGCAACAAGGAGCTGGGTGTGGACCAGGAGTCAGAGGAGGGCAAAGACAAAACAAGCCCTGATAAGCAAGAGAAATCCCCACAGGTTTCTGAGCATGTGGCATGAATGGGGTCGCTAGAACACAACAGGGGTCCTCCTATGCTTTGGGGGGACATGGGGGCTGGAAGGGTTTCCAGGGGGTGTCTTTTTAACATCTAATGTTTGGATTTGTCCCACTGACCTTTTCTCTCAGCAAGTTCCCCTAAAATTTGGGATGATATTTGGGTGAATGTCTTGGGGTTTATTGCCACATGAAACTAGTCCTAGGACTGGAATTACAGTCTGAGCCTCCCCACTGGAGATTATCCAGCCAGGACAATAACAGACGGTAGAGGAAAAGACCGAGTAAGACAGAATCAGATTGAGAGTTGAGACTGAACAACTTCTGTCTTTAGTCTTTGAATCCTGACAAGAGGGGGATACAGTAGTAGAAAGGTAGGGGAACTGATATCAGAAATGGAGTCCTCTACAACTCAGGGGAGGGTTCTACTGGAGTAGGGAGAGGTGGCCATATAAGCCTTAGTGGAGGTGAGGCTAAAGGGCAGAAGTCCCCAGAAAAATCCACAGCCGAGTTCTCTTATCCTGGAGCAGCAGCAACACAGTGGAATGGGGAGGAGGGGATCCTTTGAGACTGAGGCAGCTGGAAGAATTTTGACCTGCTTGGGGCCTATTTGATTGAAATATTCGGGCTCAAAACAGTAGAGAAGGCTTTAGCTTGGGGGTCGGGTGGGATCAGTGGGGCTGTCTACATGTCAGCATTACTAGTGTGTCTTTTGGCTGGAGGTGTCAGGGCTAGCAAGGTATGGAGTGAAGAGCCACTAAGGCCTAGATAATTCTCACTCCAGCTTACTATGTTCAACTAAGAAGAGCATTAGCCCTGTGCCCAGCTCCAGCTGCCACCTATGGCTGTTTTGGGCACTCCAGCTCCTTTGGCCAAAAGCAGCTTTCCTCAAAATTCATCCATCCATCCCTGATTCCTGTGAACCAGTTTTCCTTTGTTTTCTACAGCCATGGCCTGGCAATACAGACTATGAAAGTGAGGAACAGCAGCAATTTCGCAGCATTTTCAAGCAGATAGCTGGTGATGTAAGTACTTCCAACCCTAAGACTCCCACAGGAGCTTGCTTTTCTACTTGATTGACTGTTCAAATTACCATTCTTTCATTATTGCTAAGTAGACATCATTTTGGATTTTGGGCATGAATGTATGCAGACAGAAACCTACAAGTCCTTGAGTTTTGGACTGACACATCCACTGGGGAGCTCAGAGGCCTTTGTCCTATGTGTTAGCTGCCCACTGGTCTATACAGCTAAGGGTGCATTGTCTGTCCCCATCTTCCTCAGAAGAGCCTCAGCTTCCCATAACAGAATCGAAACAGGGATTTCACAAAAGCGAATAGCTGGGATTTATTTTGCAGTCTCTGCTCTATCAGCTGCTTTACTCTTGAACCAGGACTCTTCTCCTTTTCTCCTCAGGACATGGAGATCTGTGCAGATGAACTCAAGAATGTCCTTAACACAGTTGTGAACAAGCGTGAGCTACTCAAACTAGGTGTGGGGGAGGGGCAGGGGCTCAGTTGTCTGAAAGTGGTTCCTCATTCTTCTCCATGCCCCCAGACAAGGATCTGAAGACACAAGGGTTCACGCTGGAGTCTTGCCGTAGCATGATTGCTCTCATGGATGTATCCTTCCTGTCAACCCTTCCCAACCCTTTGGTGTCTGCCCACAGGAGCCAGGAAAACCAGGGATGCCTAGTCAGGCAGAGGGCCCAAATTTGGGCCCAGGGAAGGAGATTCTGACTCAACATCTGAAAGCGTTGTTTTGGTTTTTTTTGGACTCAGAACATCCTGTATACTGGTCTGAAAAGAATCAGAAGGACGGACACTGGGTTGTGGCTGGCCACATCCCCAGCTCTTAATTCAAGCCTGAGATCCTGCTTGAAATTCTATCTAAACATGAAGGATCCTTAGAGGGCAGGCTTGTTATGAAGCCTGCAGGAACTTTATTGGTGGTGGTGGTAGGGTGGTTAATAGCAGGATAGGGCAGCGGGTAGGGGAGTTCAGGTTGAGGCTTCCTATGGGGCTACCTTCCCTAGTCCCCTAGCCACACCCTCCCAGTCCAGGGGGATTTTGCTATGTGCCAGTAGCCCTGACCTTCCTCCTCCAGACAGATGGATCTGGGAGGCTGAACCTGCAAGAGTTCCATCATCTATGGAAGAAGATCAAGACCTGGCAGGTGTGATGAGAGCGTGAAGTGTGGAAATGAAAAAGAGGGTTGATTTAGGGATTGTGTGTGACCTTCCTCAAATTTTCTATTGCCAGAAAATCTTCAAACACTATGACACAGACCAGTCTGGCACCATCAATAGCTATGAGATGAGAAATGCTGTCAATGATGCAGGTGCTGGGAAGAAAGGGGGTGGCAGGCATGTGGACTTAACTGGTGGGTGTAGGAATGGGAGAGGGGACTAGGCTACTAGGACCCTACTAAAGAAAGGAAAGTTTCTCATTTCCATTTTTGAGGACAATATGCCTAAAGGGTTAGAGGAAATAGAATGGGGTCTAAGAATTCCAGTTTCACTTTTCTCCTCTATCCTGCCCCTTCACAGGATTCCACCTCAACAGCCAGCTCTATGACATCATTACCATGCGGTACGCAGACAAACGCATGAACATTGACTTCGACAGTTTCATCTGCTGCTTCGTCAGGCTGGAGGGCATGTTCAGTAAGTGGGGGCTGCCCTTCTGCTCTAGAGTACTTCCAGCCCCCTCCCACAGGATAGCTCTGGCAATAGGAAGCCAGATAATCTTCCAGTCTACTCTGTCCAGGCTGAACAAAGGCCAAAGCCTCTTTAGACCTAGAAAAGGAAGGCAAAGGAAGGGTTACTGGTAATGCTCTGCCTGCAGATAATCCTCTTAAAAACACGTGGTCCTCTTAAGAAAATTGAGTAGTGAAGTTGGAGTGAGCCTGTGTTTTCTTTTACACAGGAGCTTTTAATGCATTTGACAAGGATGGAGACGGTATCATCAAACTCAATGTTCTAGAGGTAAAGCATAACAGATGCAGCACACTGACCCTGCACCATAAAATTCAAGTTGGATGGGACTGGGGTTGTAGCTCAGTGGTAGAGTGCCTGCTTAGCACTTGTGAGGCCCTGGGTTTAATCCTCAGCACCCCATAAAAATAAAGGTATTGTGTCCATCTACAACTAAAAATATTCTTTAAATGTTTAAAAAAATTCAAGGTGGGCAGTTAATGAGGCAGAAATGGACCCACTCTGCTCCTCACTTCCAAATGGTAGTGGAGGGATGGGACAGGAAGGAAGTCTGGTGGGGAAGGTAGTCCACAGGACACATATACTTAGCAGAGGCTCACAAGGGGCCTCAGCTTCCCAAATAATTTTATGTTGGAAAACATGTTACCTTTCTGGTCTGTTCCTTTTCCCCCATCCCATAAGATTCCTAGGGCTGGGGTTTCCTTTTCTTGTCTACATTCTGATCTTGGGACTTCTTCTTTCAGTGGCTACAGCTCACTATGTATGCTTGAACCAGGCTGGCCTCATCCAAGGCCATGCAAGATCACTCAGGATTTCAATTTCACCCAATATAGCTAGAGTCATTTACCTCAAAGGATCCAGTAGCTACATCAGCATGCTTCCAGGCACCTCTTTGGTCTTGTTCCGCCTCCACTTTGCTCTATACTGTCTCGATCTGTCATGTCTAGCCTGACCCTTGGGAAAACAACTTTGTTCCTTTGCCACATGAAGGCAAGTGTCTGCCTCAGCTGTATAGCCTACCTATCCAAGGTTGGCTGATTCTGAGCTGCCTCAGCTCTGAGGCAAATGCTACCCCCTTAGCTTGCACTAAGGCTTTTGCAGAAGCATCTGCCAATTGCACTTGCCACTCACTCGTGCTGGAGCCCTCTCACCTTTATACTCTCCCATCCATAGGACAGTAACCAAATTTGCACTTGGGTCTGCCAGTTTAGAATGGGCCTCTCTGGGGTAAACTGATCCAGTGGAATAGGGTTGGATACTTTGGGTTTTCAGACACATGTTTGGCTGCATTCTGGAAAAAAAAAACAAAAACAACTGATCTAAATAAAGGCACGTGTACAGCTGGTTCCACTGTTTTGTTTTGTTGTGTGTAGACCAGCAGGGCTGAATGCATTCTAATTATGCCCTCAATCACCTACAGAAAGCCCTAGTCTCAGAATAGAAAATGGAAAAACAAACACAAAACCTCAAGCCCTACTTAAGTCATTGCTAGGCACAGTGGTGCACGCCTATAATCCCAGTGATTTGGGAGGCTGAGGCAAGACTGCAAGTTCAAAGCCAGCCTCAGCAACTTAGGCCCTATCTCAAAAAATAAAAAGCCTCGTGGTAAAGTGCCCCTTGCACTTTTTTTCATCCCCAGGGGGAAAAAAAAGTCACATATATTGCTTTTTTTGTTTTGTTACTAGGGATTGAACTTAGGGGCACTTTACCACTGAGCTACATCCCTGGCCTTTAAAAAAAAAAGTATTTTAGAGACAGAATCTCACTGAGTTGCTTAGTGCCTCACTAAGATGCTGAGGCTGGCTTTGAACTCTTGATCCTCCTGCCTCAGCCTCCCAAGCCACTAGGATTACAGGCATGAGCCCTTATGCCTGGCTATTAAAATTTCTTGAGCATAGGAATCATTCAGATAGTTCCTAATACATATAACGAAGAAGGGGAATAACTGCTGGAATATTGGACATAAAAAATAAAGAACATATTATGTAAAATTCTGGGGTGGGAACAGTGCTACAGCTTGAACTCAGGGCCTCATGCCCTACCACTGAACTGTATGTTGTACATAATTATGAAACCATATATTAAATGTAATTTTAATGTGATTTTTTCTCACTTATTTCAATGTATTTAGGTTTAAAAATTTTAAGCATTTTATAATTCTATCTAGGATAAATTTTGACATAAGATGTAAAAGTAAAAATTAAGAATAATATTTGTGGGAAAGACCAAGGGGGGGATATATATTAGTGGTAGTATGATATAAGCATCTTGTGTTTTCCACCTAATTTCCCTTTTCTCTAGCCAACATGAAAGGGTTGACTACGAATATGCAGACAAGGTAACAAAAGTAAACAGCTGATTAGTAAAATTACTTTATTTTCCTCTCGTATTTGCTTTATATCTTGCTTTACAAAGTTATGAAGTTCACAGCTTTATACCAAAACGTAACAAGACTAGGTTATTTGCTTATAAACATTTCTGTGGTCAAGTATTTCATTCTTATCCATATTCAATATTTAAAAAATCTGAAACCAAGGGTGCTGGAGCAGCTCTAGGGCATATATTTATCTTTAACAGGAGAAAGATCTTCAACAGCCTTTCTTGACCCCCTCTGTACCCAATTCACTGGTGTACTATCTTAAATTTAGAGTAACTCTGGGAAACTTCAGTCACTATATGACCCAGCAGGTCATAGTTGGGTTGAAGGTGAAGTTAGAAGCTGGTGTCTATAACAGTAGGTCTGGTTTAAATGAGGATTCCTCATCCACTTGTATGGAACTCAGCCCAAATTGCCTCCATCACAGCCTCTTTCCTATCCATAAGATCTCTTCTCTTAAACCCTGAGGGTCCTACTGACTTGTGGCAGGGATAAAACCACTGTTTTATAAAAGTGGCAGGTGCGGCCTTCATAATAATGCTAGGAGCTCTCCTTTAGGTAACAGGATCAAAATTTAGAAGAAAGCCTACGTAAACTGCAATTATTTGAGCAAACCAGAGTGTACAGGCTGTCCAAATCCCACTTTACAATATACTTCAGTCTTTTCCAATGAATTCTCTTCCATTAAAAATACCATGCCATTCCTCTACTCCCACCAAACTTGGCCACATGCCTAAGTCACTAAAGTTGTTCAGAAAAAACAGCAAAGTGAAACTTTTATTAAGCAAATAATCACTTAAGCAGAAACAGTTTTGTCTATAAACTGTATGTAGGTAATGAGCTAAACACTCAACTTCTAATTCTTAGAATTTTTTCCCCACCAAAGAAGGAGTGTAAAAGTAATGACTTGCTCTCAAATTTGAATAACATCAGGTCAAGATAACTCTTCGCTCTTTTTGTTTCCACTGTTTGTTTTGTAACTAAGGAATATGCCAAAATATATTTTGAATTTAATTAAACTTTTGCATAAAATTTGAAGCGACTGATATTTTATCAGAACCGCCATTAAAACATTAGCATATGCTAGTATAAACATTTTAGCAGTCAAGTGTTTCATTCTTATCCATATTCAATATTTAAAAAATCTGAAACCAAGGGTGCTGGAGCAGCTCAAGGGCATATACATCTTTAATAGAAGAAAGATCTTCAACAGCCTTTCTAAAATAATTGATGGTTTTCTTGGCTCTGAGCTGTTAGAATAGGCACAAACAATTAAAAATCACATTCTACAAATGGCCTCCAATTACTTATAAGAAATGTGCCTGTTCTGTCAGGTTGTTAAACTATGTCCTTCCTCTTGAAGCCTCTAAACAGCAGAATCAGCACAGACCCTGAGCCACAGCTCTTCTGTAAGGGGAAAGAAGCGACAGCTATAACAATATCATGGAGAACTTAAAAAACAGCAGAAGTTTTGCATAACTTAAGGCGCTTAAAGGTGATAACACAACCATAAACAACTGAAATGCTTATGGTCCCCTTTATTTCTCAACAGAGGGCTAGACAGTTCATTCTAGATAACACTTGAACCTGATGTTAGAATATCACATGTTCTTGAAATGAACACATTACTACCACTTTTTCAAAGAAATCTTTTGTGAAATAAAAAATATCACAAGCACAGGTGCCCACCCATATATATGCATACAAAGGAACTTTCACACATGCATATCCAGAGGCAGATACATGCACATGAGTCTACCAAGTTAAATCCAAATCACACTTCTTACCTATCCTACAGTCTGCAATACCCTCAAAAGTTGCCCTTGACTGCCCAACACTTTACATTCCCCTTTCCTGCTATACAAAAGTTCCACCATGGTTGTTTCAGACACATCCTTGGGCAGAACAGAGCACCTATGCACCAGGCTTTCTTAGCACACTGCCCTGCCAATGTGGAAATGCAGTCACTGCAGTTCAGAGAAAAAGACCAGGTTTAGCAACAAATCCCAAAAGACTTTCCTGGAAATTACTATTTCCAAGCTTGGAACAGTGTGGTTTCTCTGGTTACCCTTACAGGAAATGGAGGTGAGAGGTAGGAAAAGCTTTTAATCCCACACAGAAACAGTGCAAATATACATTATCAAGAGGATCTTCTCTGTTCTCTATACAGCATCATGCAAACCTAAATATGTGGTTAACAAGAGTTTTCCACTCACAAGCACAGAAATAGCTTGTGGAGCCATCCATTATCTGGTAGTACCTCCTACATTAGTTCTTAACATTTTCTGGATCCAGTAACAACCACTAGAACCTTTCCTGGAAAAAAAACAAAACACATTCTTAGTCTTGTATACAATTTCAGGGGAGTTTCAGCCCCTCTTGCACCTGTCTATGAGCCCCTGGGGAAGCCCCTGCTCTGGAACTTGAGGGAAGGATACTCAAAGACATGTGCACTAACGGGATAAACTTGGATGCTGGCAATCCTAAGAAACTGTAGGTGTCACACACCCTGTAGCTCAGTAAGTGAAAGGGCTTCTCCCCCTCCTTTTCTTGGCCTCTCTGAAGAATCTGAGTTTTGAGAATTCAAAAACAAAAGGTTAGAAAGTAATATATGTATAGCTTTACTGGTAAGAGTCTAGAGAAAATCTAGAAACAAAGCAGTTCCACTAAGTCTTTGGTGATTTGGATGTTCCCAATGGACACAGCCTTTCCTTTCACCATAATCCTCTCCTCTCCCAGCTAGCAGGGAAGTGAAACTAAAGACACTGGCTTCAGAAATAAGTCTCTAATAAGCCTGCCTGAGGCCCTAAAAATTATATCCAGATGCTTTATTCTAACTCTCCCATATTGGGTGCTGCAGTTGGGTTGAAATCACTCTGTGAGTCCAAAGGAATACTTGATGGTTGCCATCAGTCTAGGTTCAACAGTAAGAGATGGGGGTAGGCAATAAAGTAAACCAAAAGGTTTCAAACCCACAAGAAGTTTGGAGAGTCAGAAATTTGGGGAGACAAATATACACCTCCAGTTCAAACAGCCTGAAAATATCTGTAGCAGTGAGCAGCACCCAGGTCTAACAGCAAAACAGAAAAGTAGACAGACATAAGGTTGGCACGTTTCTTCACACTGAGCACTTTATCAAAATTTGCACTGAAGTTCACTAGGGAAAGCAACTTGTAAGGACTTACATAATGGGACTTAAATATTTGAATTTCTAGAATAGTGAACAGAGCAATTATTCTAGCTATTTATAAAAAATCTGTGTGTCGGTTAGCATTTAAAGTCAGTTCTGTCCATCTACAAAGCGGGTGAATAGTGAAACACACTGCACATAATTTTTAAGAAAGGAAATGATTTGCTTACAATTTAAATATCCAGTTGTTTTAACTGGAGAAATTAAAACTAATCCTGAAAACCTAGCATTTGAACAAAATGTATTTAAAAGCCTGACTACAGGTCTAAACCATCATAAGAACATACACTTAAAATCACAAACTGAAATCAACAAAATATGTTTGTATGATTAGGGTCAAACTAGGTAACCAACTAAGATCTGGATCTTTAATGAACATCTGAAGAATGGTAGCAGCATAAATCACTAAATGTCATGCAGTCACAGAGGGTGGTTCCTTAAAATCTGTTTGACTGTTTAAACCCTCCAGCATGAACTTGAAGTGTACTCTATCATCCCACAGAGCTGCCCAGACTTATGCTAGTTGTTAGCCTGACTGCTAACCCACTTTCTCCTTCCCCATTTCACCGGAGAAAGGAAGACAGTGGCTAGTATGAGGGGCCTATGTGAAAACAGTTCAACTATTAATGTAATGACTTCCCAACATGGGAGGCAAAAAACTTCATGAATCAATTTTGCTGTCATCTTCAGCATGTCGTTCAATGTGTCCTGCAGCATCCTGAGGAAAAGGGAGAAGGGCTATGAGAGACAAGTTGGTGATAGAACAGAAGAAAGCCAAA